TTATATTTTATCACATATTTTATCATATTTTGTTATATTTTATCATATTTTAATATATTTTATCCTAATTTCGGTTTTATTTTTGGTTTTTGGTTTTTAAGAGATTCAATCGAAACTGAACCAAAATATATTTGGTTAATATCAAAACCAAAAAAATAGAACCAAAAACTGTTGAAACCGAACCAAATTCATTTTTTCAGTTCGGTTTTTGGGTAAACAATCGGTTCAGTTAAAAAATGCCCAGTCCTAACCATGCCTTCTAATGAGCTCGAAGTGCCATAGAACAAAAGAAATCGAGATTTGTGTTCCTTTGTCACACGAGCTTGAGGGAGTTGCAAACCAATTTATTTGGGTTTTACAAGTTTGGTTGCTGTGATTTTGGTTTGTTTTTGAATGGTCTAACCATGGTTGCTTTCTTCATTTTCTCTCATTTCCATATAGATTTTGGAAACCCAAATCTGGGTTTGTTAATTTATTTTAAATTGTGCTATACAAATTTTGATTATACTTTTATTCTTTTCTTATTCTCTTATCAATATTATTCTAATCAAAAGATTGGATTTTCATTTTCTTTTTTTGTTACCTTCTTGGCTGCGTGAGATTGTGGGGTTTATTGTATTTTGCAGGGGCCGAGTCAAGGAGGTGAGGAGGCGATGGAAATGATTGCAAAAGGGGAAAAGAAGGAGATGGAGATGATTGTCGAACGAGGTGAGGAGCCAGGGCTGGATTTTTGAGAGAAAAGACAAACAGTAAAATTGGGGTTTTGAGAGGAAAACAACATCATTTGATTGGGGCTCCAAATTTTTTGTTGGAAAGTGGAACTGAAGACCACTTTCCCCATATATATATATATATATATATATTATTTTTTTTAGTATTTTGAATAATGCTGTTTTGATTTGCATCTTTAGAGATGATATTATACTTTTTTTAAGACTTAAAATATATTTAGGAAGGGCAGAAAGTTACGGTTGAAAATCATAATACTAGAATCCTCCCCTCGACGGAATTTAGCATTTATGGAAATCAAGTCCCTCGGATGAAACCACCGCCTACGACGCACCACACCGTAGTCGTCAACGGCCGGGACTCCAGACGAGTTTCATGAAAATTAATAACACCGGAAAATTAATTAATTTTGCAGGGAATGACAAAACAAAAATGTTCTGTTATTATTACTTACTTTACTTCTACTACTATTTTTCTCACTGTTATTCAGTACATGGCCGGCGCATCAAAAACACTTTACTAAAACTAAAAGTTTTAAAAACTCTCAGTACTCTCTCTTACACAAACAGATTCAAAACCTTCCTCTCCTGCTGTCTGTCGTTTTCGGCGCTTCGTACGGTGGTCAACCTGGATTCCTCAGAGAAAAGCGACGCAGCGCTTCCTCTCCAACTCTCTGCTTCGTAATTCCTCACTCTGCCGCGTCTCCCTCCTCCTGATTTGGGGGTCAAGGACAGGCTCAGATCAAAAGGCGTTGCTGCCGCTTGATTCTCCTTAAACATGATCAGCGGCTTCGCCTGCGGGTACAGGGTCTGTAACGTGTATGGGTCCGCACGGAATCTGTCCGAGGATTCGTCGCTACTCGGCGTCCACACTCCAGCCAGAATCCCAGCGATCGGCCGTAAAGAGCCGCCAGCGAGTACCGTATCCACCGCCGCCTGACACACGTGCCAATTCCCGCTCGATAACAACCCCACCGCTCCGTTCACCGGATTCACCGTACGCCCGCACGCTTCAAATAATAACGACTGGCACAAAGCTACAAACAAAAAACAAACAAAAATTAATTAAAAAATTCAAAAAAATAAAAAAGCGAACCAAAAAAATAAAAAAGTTAAAAAGAATAAAACACGTAACATGCCTGTTAATACATACCGGGTCGTTGAGATTCCGGCACGGAAGAGATGAAGGAGAGTAGGTCACTCCGGCCGAAGAATTTGGCAAGAAACAAGGTGGCGTTGCCTTGGGCCTCCGGAGACTCGATCCACTGCAGGGAGGTCCTGAGTACGCAAGTCTCGCTGCAGCCCTTCCGAAGTACTCTGCATCCGTTGCAGCTCATCTTGATCAAGCTCCTCCGTGTGAATCACCGTCCGATTCCCTCAAACAATTACGGCCACCGGGATGGCAGTTAACTGCCAAATTTTGTTGATTAGAGAAGTGATGAGTTTTGAGATGGTGAAATGGCGACGTACGGAGGAGGGAGGCGAAATGGGGGGTGTATAAAATGACAAGGGGATGTAACTGTAGATTGAGTTGAAGCAACCATGGTTAGGTTAGGGGGATGGGTGGGTTGTGTTACCTTTGGCGGTGGGGTAATCGAGGGAATATCTTCCCAACTCTAGGCACGAGCGGTTCCGGATTTCCGCTTCCCTCTGTTCTTTCGTTTCATGTGCACCGTTGGATTCTTCTTTTTGATTGATGTCGATCGTTAGATCACTTTCCACCACCCATTTCTCTTTCCTTGCTCTACGTACTTCCATGTCCTTACTCACTACAGTATTTATATCCGAAGTTAAAATCTGTTGCTTTTTCCTCCCAAATTACCAAAATGTACAATTTACATACGTTTCTTTCTTTAATTTTTTTTTTTTTTAGAGATACCAATTTATACCAGTTTTTGGTTGTAACCATTAATAAAAAGAGAACTATCTTAATGTTAAAGACTCAATCATTTATCATTTTATTATAAAATATGCAGTTTGTGTATAATAAATTGCACATCACCTTTTATTTTATTTTTTTTAATTGTAATTGCATTACTTAAGGTGTGTTTGTGCTTTCTTTTTTTTTTTTTTAACTAAAGGAAATTAGGGCATTAGGGGAGAGAGAAAGTGGATACAAGCAAGCTAATTCTCAATGGTGTGGGTAGAATACTTATACAGTAACCATACAAGTCATGAGTTACCTAATTTAACGTGTATTTAATTTATAACTTTCTCGAGAAATAAAGAATAAAGTCAATTTAGCCAAGTTTATGGGCCCACCAAGTATTGAAATATGTTTGTGGAAAATAAATCCTATAGTAATCAATTATAATGCTTATAATAGATAACAATAGGTGGATACTGTTTCTTGTTCAAAAAGCACAAGAAAAAAAATTCTTATTTTTGACTTGTGAAATTTTGTTAGTCATTCATTATCATGGTGTGAGTCTTTTACTAAAGTCACATAATAAAAAAAAATTAATTATTTTTTATATGCAAAATTCAACTCAGAAATCATTGCCCCATTAACATTAGTGCAACTCCCATAATGTGAGATTGAAATTTGCATATGCAAATCGGGCAAGAAGAAACCCAAAGCTCGGCGCAATCTTTATCAGCATATCTAATATAGGTGTAGAGAATAGCAATGGTTGGTAGGGAATATAAATTGATTGATGATAAACTATAGTTCTTGGCTCATTCCAAGCTTTTCTATGGATCAAGGTATCATATCTGTCCCCCACCATCAAATTTTATCACATTGCAAAAAAGCTCAAAATTTTAAAATTTTTGCTTTATAATGTAAAGAGAATGCAGTTATTTGGTAGAGATATTATTTTTATTTTTAATAAAATATATATTGAAATAGTAAATAATGAAATGAATGGGAGTTTGTCTCCACACGATTTTTTGAATTTGGAAAAAAAAAAAATTTGATGAGGACAAAATATTGATAAATCTAGCAAGAAAGCAGTTGTACTTTTGCATCCGGATTGTAAAAATGAAAAGAAGAAAATATTGATCTTGCCTAAAGTACACAAATCTTTATAGTTTGTCTAAAATTCAATGGCGAATGAGGACAAAATAATTCATGGCATTCGGGGTTTGAGGATTTGATTGATATTCCATTTTCCTATTTCTTCCATTTTATGCTAGCTGGTGAGCATGCATCAATTTTGGTCTCATTAGCACAATATTGGCAAGGGAAAATGATGGGATTAGATTATACTTTATTACTTTATCTTATCGTATATACATACATTCGGTCACCAGTGCACATGGGGATAATCAAGAACAAGACATGAAATTTCTTAATGTTGTATGAAGATAACTAGTAGTAATTGTGTTCAGCTCCAATTTTATATAGGTATGAAATAATTAGTATTTTGATTTTATTAGTTAAATAAATTTTAAAATGTTATAATTATAATGTTATAAAATATTATAAATTTATTATAATATAATGTATTATTATATAATTAACTATTTTTATTCAGTGATCCATTCATGATATATATTAAAGTAGTAAGTTTTGGTTGGGATTTGAATTTGATGCAATGTTATAAAATTTGACTGAAATACTTTGAGGAGAAAAGAACACAAAGGTTTGCGATTGCGTTTTGTATAGCTTTTAATTTTTTTTTCTAAAGTAGAAATTATATTGATAGTATTAGTATCTGCACTAAGAGGATAGGAAAATGTCGAGACTGGACTCGACTTGAAGATCATCCGGGGTGCCTTTACTTGCTTCTCAATGAAAAACGTGCCCATGACGACCACATGAGTAAAAGATTCTATATAGCTCTTAATTAGATTGATTTCGACTAGAATCTTGGTCTCTGTATATTCACAAATAGAAGCCCAAATCAGCCCAGACCAGTTAACTAGGCCCGATTCCGTGGTTCAACGTAATTTAAAGCCTTGCATAAGCCCAAAATTTAAAACAGATGGATCATATCATCAGTAAAAGCACAGGCTCTCGGCCTTCTTGTTATGGGTTCATATCGACGGTGGGCTCTATTATATATATATATATATATTGGTTTTTTCTAACAATATATAGGTTAAAAATATATTTTTTTTATTTTTTTTATAAAAGATATAAAAATAAAATTTAATTTTATCAATTGACTCAATAAAAATTATCTACATGATATTAGTATTAAAAATAAAATTTATTCTTGTAAATTTTTTTTATAAAAATTAATAAAAAATATAATAAATACTTTTCTTTTATGTTTAATGTGAAATGACCCTAGTCATACTAAGGTATCAAGATCTCAAAAGTTTAAATTCAAATTATTAATGTTGATCCTTACATTTATATACTAAATTTATTCACAATTATCCACCAATATGGGATTTGGAGTATTATAATCTACTCATTTAAATACTTGATGTTTTTGTCCAACTTGAATACAATTAGAACTAGGTTTATTGGGCTACAAGTACATGATTTACCTCAAGTGATATGAGCTCCACACTACCATTGGTCATGAGATGTGATCGCTTTAATATTAATTGAAATGGCTCAGATCGAAACTCAATATTAATCTAACAACTTTTTAAGTTAAGATCAATAAATCCTCAAAAACTCAAGTTTAAGTTGTTAGTAATAATTAATTTCAACACTTATATACTAAACTAAACTACAATTTCATTTGAAGTGTTATATCCTAATAGGTCACTATTGTGAGATATACATATATGAGTAGGAATTCATTTACACGTAAGTTTTACACATTATATTTATATAAAATTTTAATCATTCCTTTATCTGCTTTTAATTGCTAAGATTTATTGTGACTTTTTAGATAAAAATGATAATTATCTTTAATAAATATAATAAAAAGTAAACATATCTTAACTATTAAAAATAAAATGATAAATAATCAAAATTTCATATAAGTATAATGTGTAAAATTTATATAAAAATGAATTCTAACTATATATATGGCAGTAAAATGTTGTAAAATAATCATGTACATGCAGTTTCATTTTGTTTAAAAAATTGGGTTTTGATTCTGTATTTTTGGCTTTCAATCCACAACATTTTTCACTGCTTTTTTTTTAAAAAAAGTTTTTTTTATATATTGATGAGCTAAATTTATATATATGTTAATAGGGAATTTTTACTTTAATATTATTGATATTTGGATGAGTTTTATAGGATTTTATTTGATTTTACATGATTTTTATTCTTTGTGTAGGAAAGGATTTAATTGGAAGAAATCT